TTCTTAGAAAGAACACATATGAACTGCAACCCCAGTAGTAATGCTTTTTACCTTAGCCCCATATATCTAATACCTGTAACTATACACACACGTTCACATTTCTATTATCTGGAATCTAGATAACTCAGATTCTAGAGTACTCATCTACAGTCATGATACCACCAATTATAATCCAACATCACAAGGTTTACATGAGCACCCTCCTCTTCATTGCTTTGACAGCAAAATCCCTAGGTGCTATGATCCTTACTACCCACCCAACTTACTGCCATGGGGTCAATTCTGACTTATAACAACCCTGCCCAGGGTTTCTGAGGCTGTCGATCTTGACAGGGGAAGACAGCTTCCTCTTTGTCCTGTGGAGTGGTTGGTGGGCTTGAAGCACTAACATTTCAGTTAGCAGTCTAATCTTTCATGACAGTGACCTCTGGGCTCCTTTTATTCTTACAGGATGATTTGTTTTGTCAGTGTTCCTGTAAGTGAGTAACCGTCCATTGTCACTACCAAGTCTGCTGTCCAAGATATGGATCCCTGCCCCTGCCAGGCTCCTACCACCTGTGCTGGTTTGCCCTGAAGCATGAGTACCCTCCCCGGGCTGACTGACATCTAGCATGGGGTCAGGCGTCCACTTCAGAGAAAACCTGTCATAGTGCCCAGCTGAGACCCTGAAGGAGTACCCATTTCACCACATGTCAGCTCAAGACTATCAAGTGAAAAGTCTCACCCCCCACCCCCTGTCTCCCACTTACAGGATTAAATGATTCAACAAAGAAGGCAAGGAGACCTTGAAGAGTCCGCTAGATGAAATTTGAACCAAACTTTATATCATGAAATGCCAATGTGATGATCACATTAGGGTGGAAATTGGATGCCTCAGCTGTAACTCTACGAAAAGTATGCTTAATCTATTCCTTTAAACAATTTAAATGTCTATTTGTGGATTTTTAAAAAAGGCAAACTGCTGGAGTTTTCTTCTTAGGCATACACTAATATAATACCAGGCTTACATAGATGTTTGTAAAATTGTTTCAACAAGTATCTACTGCTGAGCAGTCTGGGGTAGGGGTCTCCTGGCAGAGGGAGTTGATCAAGGAAGCCTATGAGGGGGCTTCCAAAACACTGTGGGAAAATGTCATTAAAATGGAATGGAATGTTTTCCAGACTCTTTTTGAAACCCCTTCCTATAAGCCCTGTCAACTAAAAGTTAAAATGTTCACCTCAAATGACTCAATGTAAGCCTCACCCAAGAGATATGGCCGACCTATTATTCTCCCAATTTGTTTCACGTCTTGGCGATAAAAGGATGTTTAGAGAGTGCCATGTATTTCACACTTCTCCATTACAAAGATATTCTGCAGTTCTCATTTAACCAAAATAGCCTGAAAGGATCAAGAAGAGTTTCTGAGCCTATCTTTATTCCAGGACTCCATTCCTTTCAGCTCAAATCAAATAGGCAGATTCACACTGTGCTCTCTGCCCGTGCGGCCAAAAATTCCAAAGATAGGTACACTCAGAGAGAGAGCGCTGGGTACTGCATGAAAGCTCTGAAGTAGGATTAGCCAATGTAAAATTTCCTGCTCTACTGCTTAATTATGTATACTTGGGCAATTACTCAAGCTTTTTAAACTCAGAAAGTCAAGGATAATAAAAGGGAACCCATAAGGCTATCAAGTCCTTAGGGTACTGCCTGTCACATTGTGTAATAAAGTAAACATATTATACCGATTTTTATAAGTAACATTTGGCTGAGTCTTAACTTGTAGAATCACCTCTCTCTGAGCAGCAAAAAGGACCTAAACAGAAAATACCCAGGGCAGTTCCCAACATCCTTTAGCAGGATCGAAAGAGCCGCTATAATCACGGGCTCAGAGACAGCAATGCTCATGAAAGAGGTGCAGCAGCAAGCAGTTGTGGCGCACAGGGTCACTGAGAGAGAACAGACGGCCCTGAACAACATCCTTGAACTAGAAAGGAAATTTAGTATCACAGAGATCAATACAATCCAAAAACTTGGCTGATGTTGCCTAGCAATCTTTAATTCTCCCTTAAAACCAGATGCTATCTTCATGCCTGTGTATGGCATGCTATCCTCTAATGTTGGCAGACACGAAGCTATAAAGACAGGATTTATCATAAGCATGTATAGCTACCTGCTGCTCCAGTTCCCATATTCTCATTTACACCTTCTATGTGCTCCTGGAGGTGAAAGAGGGGGTGCAGGGGGTGGGGGGAAGCCTGCTGATCTGCATGCAGAAGACTACAGCCACTGACAATCCCATCAAGCAGCTCTACTGACACACATAGGCTGACAAAATTGGAGTCAACTCCTCCTCAACTGGTTTGGTTTGGGGTTTTGAGGTCTAGTTTATGTATATCCTGTTTTTGCTTTTTCTATTTTCTTCTTAGAAATCTGCTCTGGGCATCAACTGCCACTCCTGAGATCGGTGTCACTTTAGAGCAGCTGTTTTCAACCAGGGGTGCACAGAGAATCACGTGGTTCGGGTCTTTGAAAACTACTAAGAATCAGGTTGAATCCCAGACCAATTCAATGAAAATTTCTGAGGACGAGGGCCCAGACTTCATGAATTATGCAAAGTCCTCCTAATATTTCCAACATGTAGCCAAATGGAGAATCCAAATGCTAGAACTAACCCAGAATGCACTGGTCCTCGTGGCTGCAATATTCTGATTTCATTTGGAAGAGTCAAAGGTGCCCTGGTGGAGCCATAGTTTAAGGGTTTGGCTGCTAGTAGAGAGGATGGAGTTTCAAACCCAGCTCTTGGCTCTATGGGAGATAAGACCTGGAGATAGGTTCGTAAAAAGATTACAGCCAAGAAAACGCCATGGGGGAGAGTCTCTCCTGTCACTTGGGGGTCACTGGTTCAGAATCCACTTCATGGCCCACACCAACATGGTAGATGAACACAGAGCAGCCAGGGAGAACCAGAGCAGGGCAAATGTCCATGGCAATTCTCTGTAAGAGGCACGAAGAGAGGGGAGATATGATGCGAGGAATGGGGAACCTGTTAAAAATGGAAGCAACCCCATAGTGAATGATGGGGGAAGTGCGGAGTGGAGACCCAAAGCTCATTTGTAGGCCACTGGAGATCCCCTTGCAGAGGGGTCTCGGGGAGGAGACGGGCCAGACAGAGTGTGATGTAGCAACGATGAAAAATACAACTTTCCTCTAGTTCCTAAATGCTTCCTCCCTCCCCCCACTATCATGATCTGAATTCTACCTTGCAAGTCTGGCTAGACCAGAGGATGTACACTGGTACAGATAGGAACTGGAAACACAGGGAATCCAGGGCGGATGAACCCTTCAGGACCAGTGGTGTGAGTGTAGAGGGTGGGTTGGAAAGAGGGAACCGATTACAAGGATCTATATGTGACCTCCTCCCTGGGGGACGGACAACAGAAAAGTGGGTGAAGGAAGACGTCGGACAGGGCAGCATATGACAAAATAAACAATTTATAAATTATCAAGGGCTCATGAGGGAGGTGGGGTGGGGATGGAGGGGGAAAAATGAGGACCTGATGCCAGGGGCTTAAGTGGAGAGCAAATGTTTTGAGAATGACGAGGGCAATGAATGTCCAAATGTGCTTAACACAATTGATGTATGTATGGATTGTGATAAGAGTCGTATGAGCCCCTAATAAAACGATTTAAAAAAATGGAAGCGGCCCAAAATGTTTTGTCTAATTGGTGAACTAGGCCTTTTTAAGGGCTTTATTTTTAAAAAATAATAATCTTATGCTTCGATGACCATCCCTCCCTTATGATCCCTCTCAGGCACTCATTGCATTCAGTCCATTCTGACTCCTCGCACCACTCTAGGACACGCAGAACTGCCCCGAGGGGTTCCAAGAGGATCATTCTTCACAGGAGTAAGGATCTAAGCGCCGTTGGGTTACTAGAATAAGTGCCTACGACGTTGAACAGGTTGTATAGAACAATGTCCTCATTTTAGTTACTGGTGGCCAACGTTCGCCAGCTTGAGAAGTGTGCCCTTCAATGCTGTTAATTGGCTGCTAACTCTGAAATGTGTGACACAAGAACTTTCACTAGAATGGAATACTTTCAACAGAAAAACACTCTTACCCGCTTCATAAAACAAACCAAACTCACTGCCATCAAGTCGATGCGGTCACAACCCCACAGAACAGGGTGGAACTGCCCCCGCGGGGTTCTGAGGCTGAAACTGGTGATGGGAGGAGAAAACTGTCTTTCTCCCGTGGAGCAGCTGGTGGTTTCGACCCGAGACCTTGTGGATCCGCAGCCCAACACATACACACTGTACCACCAGGGCTCCCAGTTAAGAAACAGGTCAAGGTAAAACGACCAATTTGGTGCCATTTGGTCTGTGAAAGTGTCTTAAACAACCACTACAAACAGTGTGTTTCATAATGTAAGTAAACAAACACACACACACACACATTATCCTATGAGTCCTGCAGGTTTTGATAATTTGGTTATTTTGTTGTTGTTATGAGGTTGTTTCAACTCAGCTCTTAAAGAAAAAAAAAAACACCCCATATCTTCAAAACCAACCCACCGGCCAGGAAGGAAAAAGAAGCTGCTATCTGAGCTTTATTAATAATTCAAGGGAAGTGAATTGGCCTCCAGGCGAGTGGCTTTCAGACATCATGCCCCATTCTTAGATCAGCAGTCTCCGCCTTGCTCCCACCCCCACCCACTCACCTACTTCCAGATCCTTTTAAAGAACCCCCTGTACTGTCCCCACTCCCATCACTGCCCTCTTGCAGGGCACCCTTCCCTCCAGATTCACCCACGGGCGCAGCGGCGCCCAGCTGCCCCATCCTTCGGCTTAGGTAACTCAGATTTACCCAGTGGGAGGAGGCCCGGGCCGCTGCTCCGCACCAGCCTTCACCCACAGGCCGGCGCCTCTCCCCACGGGCCCCCCAGGGAGAGCGACGCCCTCCGCCCCTGCGTCCCCATCTCTCCACTCCCCCTCGCCCCCCCACTGCGGCCCTCGTACCCATCACACCTGGCGAGGGCGAGGTGCTGTCTGCCCAGCTCCGGCGCGCCGCTGCCAGGAGGCACAGGAGGAAAACACGCAGGGGCGGCGGTGCCCGGAGCCCCGGGAGACTGGGGAGGGCGCACATGCTGCCGCGGGTGCCTGGTGGTCCTCGGAGAAGGCTGGAGCCTGGGTTCGTGGCCGTCGGAGCCGAGTCCCGCACGCACTGGCTGGCGGCCCGCCGTCTGCGGCCGGCGTAGGTGCGGGGGGCAGGACCCCAGAGGCGGCGGGGTGGGAGGGGCGGAGCCCGGCCGCCTCCCGCGACGAGCGCTCCTCCCTGGAGCCCGGCCGCCACTCGCTGCGGGCCCGGCCCCGCCCAGGACCCCTCTGGGCCCAGGCCCAGGCCCAGCTGGATGCGCCTGCAAAGATACAGGAGGCGGTGGCTCGCCTGCCCTTGGGGGGCAGGAGAAACACTGTGACCAACGTGTTTATCTTGGGGCGCTCTCTGCTCCGCAGGGACCTGAGCAGGGCCCGCTCAGTTACTTTGATGACAATTTCCCGACCTGCTGGGACAACTGTACGAAGCAGGTTTATTTTTGCACGGTGGTAAGGCGCTGCCCACCTGCCCTACAACTCGCATGTCTCTTCCTTGATTGTGTATAGCCATCTAATGCAGTCGCCCCTCCCGTCTCTGAAGACTTAGCCGGTTCGCTCCGGAATAAAGATTCAGAATCCCAAGGCCCCTTAGGGTGTGTAATTTTATTTTCCTTGTCTTTGGTTAACTTGCCATGACATGCGTTTTTAAGGAATCACCTACGTAAGACTCAGAAAGGCAACCTGCTGAAAGGAGTTGCTGTGTAAAACCCCCTGTCAAACTCAGCGCTGTATATCAATAGGATCACTCTCCTGAACTAGCAAGGAGACTTGAAGTGCCCAGTGCGCCGGGCCAAAGAAAATAACTGGAAACTAGCGCTTTATCTGGGAAGGGACGAGGAATCCACATTATAACATAAAGCAATAGTAAGATTGGATGATTCTTCAGGATGTTATTACTCACTAAAGCGGTTTTTAAACAATATTCTAGACATCAGTTTTTCAGGCTGCCTAAGTGGATTGAGACCCTTGTGAGTTCCCACTGTCCATAGGCATGGAATGTGGACCACCCTAATATCAGACAACCAAAAAAACCCTCACTGCCATCGGGTCAATTTTGACTCATGGTGATCCTTTAGGCTTAGGACAAGGTAGAACAGCTTCTATGGGTTTCTGAGACCGCAACTTTTCACTAAAATCAAAATCCTCATCTGTCTCCTGCAGACGGCCTGGTGGCTTTGAACTGCTAACCTCAGAGTTAGCAGCCCAATGCAATATCGGACAAACAGCACTGTAAAGCAATTCTTAGCAGTTGTACGTATACTGGAATGTAATAACTTGTCATCGGATCTCCCTTTAAACCCACTTTCAATCAATTCTAAAATTTTAATATCCTTTACTTTTTCTTTGATTGTGACCTTTGTTATCTATGATTATTGTTGCTGGGTCCTACCTTTTTGTTTATTTGGGTGTTTGTTTTTTCTGTACAGGGAAGCCAGGTTGGGTGGATTTATGGAGACAGTAACTGAAATAATAGTTACCTGGGGGCAGGGAAAGGGAGGGTGGGGGAAATGGGGAGTCAACAATAGTGGGTACGAGGAGAAAGAAAATGTTCTTTGCACACCTTTCTTAATATGAGTGAACTTTGGAATTGTATGATATGTTAATTAGAGCTCAAGAAAACTAATTCTTAAAAGTTTAAATATGTTTTGTGAGTTTCCCCCCTCCCCCCCACCGCTCCCCACACACCCCCAAAACCCCACCACACACACACACCATCGTTAGATCGGAAATTTTGGGTTTGTTACTCATGCTTTGAAAATATTTAAGTGTCATTAAAAGCAAGAGGAAAAAAATTATAGGAGCAAATTTTGAAAATTTTCAAATTTTGAAAAATACTGACTAAACAGGAACTCTGACTTCACCCAGGAGTGGTTTATGTTTCACTGGTATATATTATCAAGATCTTGCTCTTTTTTCAATCTAATGTTATGACGCAAACCTCAGAACAATATGTCAACTTTTAAAATTGGCATTCATAGTATAGGGGTGACTGCAGTTCACTGAAGAATATTTCCATATCCCTCTTCCTGCCTTCAGGTTGATTCTGACTCATCGCACCCCAGTATAGAACACAGTAGGACTGCTCTTTGGGGTTTCCAAGACTAGAAACAGGCTCTTTTCTCTGAGTGCAGCTATTGGTGGATTTGAACCATCAACTTCGCCAACCGCTTAACTAAACATTTAATCATAATAATCAAAATGTAAAACCTTACTGCCGTCGTGTCAACTCTGAATCACAGAGACCCTAGGGGTTGAGTAAAACTACCCCTTGGGATTTCCCAGATTTTAAATCTTTATAGGAGAAGCTCTTGTGGCATAATGGTTATGTGTTGGGCTGCTAACAGCAAGGTCCAGAGTTCAGAAACCACCAGTGGCCTCACTGGAACAAGTCAAGGCTTACAACTCGCATGAAAGGTACAGTTTTCAGAAATTCACACGGCAGTTCTACCCTGCCCTATAGGTCACCATGAGTCAGCATAGACTCAATGACAGTGAGTTGGTTTCTGTTGTTAAGTCTTTATGGGAGTAGACAGCCTCCTCTGAATTCGAACTATTAACCTGGTGCTTAGCAGCATAGTGTGTAGACTACTATGCCACCAGGGTTCCTTAAGCAATATTGCCGAGCCAAAGCCAAACTCACTGCCTTGGAGTGGATGCCAATGCATAGTGACTTCGTAAGACAGGGTAGAACTAACTACCAGAGTGCACTTCCAAGTCTGTAACTATAGGAGTGTAGACCCAGAGCGTGGCTTCTAGTTTTGAAATGCTGACCTTGAAATTAGCAGCCCAGTGGGTAACTACCACACACACAGCACAAGGGCTCCTCTATGCAATATTATATGCCTACTAATTGCCAATCACTGGGTACAGTCTTATGAATTGGAATAAGGTTTGTTCTTGGTACCCAAAAATAGGCCTCATATTCCCCAGGATATTATGCATAAATTAACCTGCAGAGTTCTGTATCTTTGAACGACAAATCTGAAAAAAAAAACTTTCAGTCAGAAAAATTATGATGATGATAATGACACAATGAAAATAGTTATACTAAACATTTTATTCTATGACCTCTTGGCACCATAGCCCTTGTCACTAAACCCAAATCTTCTCAGCTGTGCTTTGCATCTTGTTCTAACACTGACTGCAAACATTCCCTTCTGAGGTAGTTAGTTTATTGTGCCAACCTGGCCGATAAACACATATGGGGTTAATTGAAGGGCAGAGGGATAAATGGCTCCATGAACCTCGCCTTTCTAGTTCTCAGGTCTCTTGCTTTGTGATGGTCGCACCAGCGTGCAGCTGCCTTAGCAGTTCCCTGCTTCAGCTTGCAAGGCTCATTTCCTGCAAGACATCCCAAAGGAGAAGCCACATGGACCTAGCTCTATGCAGCCCTGGGGGCTGGAGCAGCTGTGTGGAGACCCAGCCAGCGCTAAGATGCTTACACATTCACTGACTCGGCTTTCCTACTGCAGTCAGCATCATTGCATCTGTTTTGTGAGATGGAGGAGGACTTTGTGGATTGGTGTTGGGCATATGGGTTAATGGGTTAATGTTGGACTTGTGGGCTTGGGCAGCACTGGGTTGGGATGCTTTCTTGATGTGCACTTATCCTTTATATAAAACTCTCTCTTATACATGAGTTTCTGTGGATTTGTTTCTTTAAAGTACCCAGACTAACACACCTTCCTTCTGAAGACTTTTAACACAAGCCTTTATCAGAAAAACGGACCTCTGACTGACCTTTAAAGCCCTATCAGCCCTATATCTTCAAGTACAAATTCACCTTTCTTAAATGAGCTGGCATTTTAAAAAGGAAACATTCTTTTTTTTAAAAAAAAAAAAAAGAAGAAATATTCTTTTCCGTTGAATCTCCCTGTTTTATGAACAGGAACAACGGACTTACTCAATCAAGTTTGGATTCATTCCCACTGTCCCTGTCATTTGCTTTCACTATTTGAACCAAAGAACTTGAGAACGAAAGGGAATTCTTGTTTGGGTCAGCATTTGTCAATGTTTCTTTCCTCGTTGTTGCTGCTTTCTTTTCAGATCGTTGGTGCTTTGTGCTCGTATAACCGCTCCACTGTTTCAAAGGTTCCATATCCTTCGCCATCAGCTTACACACGTGCTCTCCTATCCATATGTTCTCCTGCGCTTCCTGTTCCAAATGGGCATTTTCCTCCATATTGAATTCAATATGGCCACACATGTTTTGATGTGCTCCTTGTGTTACCTGTCTTCAAATCTGGGTGATCTCTGACTGCTTGGCTTTATTGAAGGTTGCAGAGGTGATGCTACCTCGGGAGTTTTCAGGTCCAGATGGAAAGAGCTTCCACCTCCTTTCTGTTGAGCTCTCACCCGGAGAAGACAGCTGCTAAGTAAGAAATCCTACTGCATTAGCTTGGGACCATCATCATTAGGGAAGCCCAGCCCACACAGGGAGACTGTGACTGATGAGATGTGATGTTCTAAGAGGGAGGCCAAAGAACAGTGGGATGCCAAATGTGTGAGGGAATGGTCCCAGAAACCTTCACACAAGGGCAGCCCCCAGCTGACCCCCACCCAGTGATCCCAGTGGATGTCTTCCGAAGAGGAGAATTGCCCAGTTGAGCCTTGCCTAAATTCCTGACCCGCCCACCCTTTTTTTATATATAAGCAGTCAATCAACAGATAAATCAGGTAAATCATATAGAATGCAATGCTTCCAACAGATATATATAAAAAGGGCAATTTTCATAGGGCCTCAAGGACTTTCTGCAGGGACTAGGACAGCTGTAGAGGAGCTCCCTTCATCCAGGGACATTTCAAATCGATGCAAGCATTTCTAAATACGTATCCCCTGCCACACAGAAGAGGTCATTCTGCTCAAAATAAAATGTTGACTTAAGCTCACATAGTTTTGAGACCGCAACAATAGGCTCAGACATAGAACAATTGTGAGGTTGGTACAGGATTGGGCCGAGTTTCCTTGTGTTGTGCATAAGTTAGCTCTGGGTGGGAACTAAAGAGCACCTAATAACAAGTTTTGGAGGAAGCTTGTATTACCATAATAAATAACCTGCACCTTCTCTTCTGAAATCCTACTGCCTGGAGTATTCATTTGCTAATTCATAATTTACAATGTGGTAACTTGAATGCCAATGTTAACCTGAATTGCCATTTAAGTGCATTATTGTTCTTTGCAATTGTATCTTCTTTCTCAGTGTAAGTACAACTATTTTCCATTCCTGGGAATAGTTCTATAAATCTTTGTATTTCTACCAGCACCTTAAAAAATTGTACTCTTGGTATGTAATGTTTCTTCCTTATTAGAAAATCAGTGTGGGGAAATCATTTTCTTTCTTCTTGGGCTAACATTTGCATCACAAGAGTTCCTTGAAGTGCACTGATTTTTTATTTGCTAAGACTTTAAAAAAATGTTTAAATCATTTTATTATGGACCCATACAACTCTTATCACAATCCATGCATACATCCATTGTGTCAA